TTGTTATCATATCTCATAAAATGTCGCGCAACATTTTGATTTTGATTCTATCTGCCTTCTAATCCTGAATTCTCACACCGATTCCAGCTTCTATGCATTGTATGAATTGTTCTATATGTGACATTATTATTATTGTATCCTTTAAATCCTGGAGGAACATAGGGCTTCAGCTGTGCGTCTCCATTGCGTTCGGTTCTCTGCTAGAGTCTTCACCTGGCTGCATGTCTGCCCACACGTTTTCATCTCCTCTTCACATGACCTCCTCCAAGTCACCCTTGCACTGACGACTAACTCGCCGCCTCTTCCCTTTCGGGTTCCACTCGAGCAATGGCTTGTCTAGTGATGTCACTCACTTGATGGTTTCCTAAGAGTATGGCCACTGAGCTGACATGAATTATTGTTATTACCTCATGTATCCACATGGATTATTGAATTCCCCTACAGTTTCTTCGAAACAACATCAAAAGCTATGGTACAGCTCGACAATAAAATCATTCTTTAGAACAGTCTCTCTGGTGAATCCCTTCTTTTCAGTGTTATTTGAATTCAGTAAATAAACTATGGAGGGTATTCAGCTAGATGGGAACTAGCTATTATAATTTCAATGTGTTTTCCATTAGGAGTTGAAGTTCGTTTAAACAATATTAGGATGTATGTCGCACTGCACGATTGTTTACAGGTTTTTGATAGTGAACGCTAGAAACCGGATCATTGGTTGATCGCGCTATTTTTTTTTCATCACCTGGTGAGAATTTACCGATTCATTCTTTATAAAATTTCAAAGAACGACGAAATATAAAGCAAGAACAACAGTGGTTTGTGCAGAATAATATGGTACCATCATTTATTTCGTCGGCTTCTCATCATCTGCTTACAGCCTAAATAAATTGTGAGGTTTACGTACAGAAAAGTTTTAACATACTTTCAAGTTTTACATGTAGTCACTTGACAGAAAGTTCCAAAGTAAGTGAACAGTGCTAAGAAAGTTGCGCTTATATAGTTTTTACACAGGCACTTCAAGTTTAAACAAATTAGATGTATGCATACAATGGTAAAAGAGTTACGTAATAAATAAGAGAGGTGAGTAAGATGATGAGTAACTAATAAATTTGGTAACGATGTACTGAGTTCAAATCACGTCATAGAAACATAAACTTGAACTGCCTGTGTAAAAACTATATAAGCGCAATTTTCTGAGCACTGTTCACTTACTGTGGAACTTTCTGTCAACTGACAACATGTAAAAATTTGCAAGTATGTAAAACACTTTTCTGTACGTAAACCTCACAATTTATTTAGGCTGTAAGCAGCTGATGAGAAGCCGACGAAATAAATGATGGTACCATATTATTCTGCACAAACCACTGTTGTTTTTGCTTTATTTAAATTCATCAAGAGGAATAAATGCATGAACGACGAAATAGCTGTCCAGACCAACCTAGTGTTGAGTGGTTCAGTGTTGTACAGCCGGTTATTGACAACAATGAAGTTGAAATGAACAGAAAAGGCCTTTAATAATTAAATTGAATGTTTCGGGAACATGCATTTCGTGTAGTGTAGATTTTCTTTGACGAAGGAGTGGATCCATTTTTCGAATATGATTTTTATTTTGAAAAGTCACTGGTTGCGTGTTGTACGAATGAATATTGAATATGATTAGTGTCGAAGTGTGACGCGCTTGAGGATTTGGGTTAAGGCATCACACCAAAATCCGTGTGTGTTCGAATTACACTTGCACCAAGTGATTTTAACTTTCACATAAGATATTATCACAATCAAAATATCAGTAATCTACAAAGTGAAGAATAACCTAACTATGCTTCCGTTTCTTTCTTCTTACTGAGATGTTTTCTACTCAGAAAACAGAAAGATTGAGCGAAGAAATCTTTACTTTTCAATTAGATCCTCATCTCTGGCTCTACTCTAATATACACGTATAGCATTTTTATTACAATACACAACAGTTTACCAGTCAAGTGGCACTGATATGTTTGTTAACAATAATTAAACAGTGTCAAAATGTCAATGCGACGGGTGATAATTAACGAAGAAAAAAATCAATACACATTGAAAAGGAAGAAATGGATAGAATAAATTAATTTTACAAGGATAACACGTAATTAAAGATGATGGCACACTAGAAAGGAGTGTGTATAGGAAACCTACAACAACAGGTCAGTACACTCATTTTTTGAGTTTTGTACCTTTGAAATATTAACGTAACCTGGTGAAGTGTCTGGTTCATCTGTTCAGACGACTGCCTCAATGAGGATCGTAAGATTATTGGAGAATTACTTAGAAAAATGGTTATCCAGATAAATTCATTGAGAAAAATATGAATTCAGCACCAAGGATAGTCAGTATGGCTATAGTTCCGGAGAAACCAATGTTCATAAAATTGCAGTTCCTCGGAGACAACATCAGCGAGATCATAACACAGCGCCTGAAGAATGCAGTTAAAAGAGCTTATTATGCAGCAGAGGTACTTTGTTTCTTCAAAACTACCCCTATTCTATGTTCGAGAAATAAGGATAAACTACCTAATTTTTCCTCTTCTATGTGTGTCTACCAGTTTGACTGCAGCTGCGGAGCCAGCTACATTGGGCACAGAATTAGGCAGGTTCACCGTCGTATTTCAGAACATCATCCGGCATGGTTAAGTCAGGGACAAACAAGATCTATTCGTAGTTCTATTTTAGCACATCTTGTTGATACTGAGCATAAAGTTGATGTTAGTACTGCATTTAAAATTATCTGCTGTATGAGTTCTTCTTCTAATGACAGCTGAAGCAATCGGAATCCACCTGAAGAAGCCAAGCCTATGTGTTCAGAAGGAATTTGTACAGCCACTTTCCTTACCGTGGCCATCTCTAGAAGAATGCGTGAACAGGACTACGTCGCTCCCCCTACCCCTAAACTTTTAAAAACTATAAAAATCATAACTATCCAAATTATTTTATTTTTATTTATTTTCACCACTTCATCTTTAATTATGTGTTATCCTTGTAAAATTAATTTACCCGACTCATCTGTATTGCTGAAGCTTTGACTATCGAAACAGAAAAGCCAGATCTCTGTGTACAGAAGAAGTTCGTTCAACCCCTCCAACTTTCATGGTCTTAATCCCTCTATGCTAAAGTATGGTAATCCCCAATCATACTTTAGCTCTACCAACTCTCCATTTTTTCATTTTTGTCTATTCAATTTGTATACTCTTCCTTATTAAGTCAATTGTTACTATTACTACTCTCACTTTGTACTGTCCCCGGTATTATTTCACTTGTTCCACTTGTCATTCTAAATCAATTCCTTTATGCAACATTAAATTCTATGCTATTAAATTTCACACAGTATTACGTAACGTTTTTATTTTATTCGATTTGTCTACTAATCTTATAATTGCACACCTTTTTCAAGTTCTATCCATCCTATGAATTATTCTATATATGACATTAATTAGCTTTGCCACTTGACATTTAACTACGATTATAATCACAAACATTTTAGTTTTAATTGCACTTCATATTATTATTATTTCATGCATTCACACCTATGTTTCAATTCCCTCACCGGATATAACTTCTTAAAAACCATATATATACGATTGTACAGCTTGATGATAAATTCGTTGAAAAGGGTCTCTTCGCTGAATCATTTGTTTTGATTTAATTTATTCTATCCATTTCTTCCTTTTCAATGTGTATTGATTTTTTTCTTCGTTAATCATCACCCATCGCATTGACATTCTGACACTGTTTAATTATTGTTAACAGACATATCGCCACTTGTTTGGTAAACTGTTGTGTATTGTAATAAAAGTGCTATGTATAATAGAGTAGAGCCAGAGATGAGGATCTAATTGAAAAGTAAATATTTCTTCGCTCATTCTTTCTGTTTTCCACTCAGTTGGAGAAACCTGAGCTATGTATACAAAACGAATTTTCTTCGAAAAATTCCACTATCATGGGAAGAACCTTGTTGCTTACTACCAACCTTATTCTGTTTGCTTTGCTTGCTTTCATAACTCTTGTGATTATTTATAACTAACACTCACATAATTCCATATTCGTCTTCGCTTCTATGTGCATTGTGATCACTTCTGTCACCATCCTCTTTCGTGATCAACATAAATGTGTATAAATGCAAATGTACAAGTGATCGGAGAAATGAATCCCTCGAGAAGGGCCACTGCTCTGAATTATGTTTCATACTTTTATTGAGTGTGTGAACGAAGATTACGCAATTCCCTATCACATCTACAAACTGTGCATGCAACATCTTGATACAATGAAAATGTTGGATGCTACCTGCTTCATACCGATTCCATAATCTCACTGTCTGTTCTTGTCAAATGCAAACTAATCTAGAACCACACACACACTGATAGCTGATATAGGGCCAGGCTGGAAAAGAGCTAGCGGTGGTCAAACGAAAACGTGGCACCAGTCAATGAAATCCACAACAGTTAGCCTAAGCCACGTAGGAGGGTGCAGACTTCCTGGTTGGGGTCCTCGGGACGGTAAAAACCGGTGGTTGGAAACACTTGGTGACATGGCTCAAAATCGTTCTCAATGGCTGGTGCAGATGCATCCACTCCTTGTGACTTATGATTTCCAATGGAACTGTTTTGTTCTCCGTTATTACTATTCCTTTGTCTCACACCTCTGTTTACTGTCTATATTATGCATTTCTTCTACTTTCTTCTCTTGCTTTGTGTGCTACATTGAGTGTGGCGACATGAACTGCAGCACATATGTGCAAAGTTTTATGTCAAAAACCGACCGACCGACCGACACACACACTCCAAACTGAAACCATCATTCAGTTGTTATCTCAACACACAAAAACATTGGATAAATATGAAAGGTGATTTTGAATAAACATTTATTGGGTAGGATCTAATCTACAGAAAGAATAAAAGAAGAATACTCAGTATTTTTAGAAGATGAAGCGTGTTCATTTTACTAACATCTAAGCAGAGCATTTGATGAAAAAGCACAGTTGAAACTATTTTTTTCAGTTATACAATGATTGAGCAGTCTGACTTTGCTGCAGCTCCGATCTTGTTCTTGAAACAACGACACTCTAAAGTCATGGTATTTGCGGACGTGTACAATCCCTAGAGGGAGAGACAGTGAAAGAGAAGGTGAAAATGAACACATAAATACTCATCAGAATCGGATTTCTTAGCTACAGTAATCAATTATGGATTGTATAATAAACTTTGATCAATTTGTGAAATCGAGAGCAATTGTGTTGTCATGATGGTAGTTATATTATCTTTACAAGTGGTGCTTATCCTGCACAGAAGATGTTAAATCTGTTACAGTGTCGTCTCCAGTCGAGAAACATTCTGTAATGGTAACAAACAAAATCATGTCGTTCTACTAGTATGAACACGTTATGGACACCGTTGAGTGCTACCACACATCAGGCCAATATTCCAGAGCAGTCCGACTCGGAAACGATGAGTTGCTTGTCTGCGGTTGACATGAAGGATATTGTGTGTGTGCGTGTATGAGTGAAGTACATGAGAATATGTGGGAAGTCACAAAGCCAGCTGAATAGGACTTTGCAATTCAGCTGCTTATTCAGAAGTTTCGCAAGTTCTTTCCTGGCATTCGCCTCTTCACACGAAAACACTGCTGAATGTCGTATGGTTGAGGTTTTACATTTTCCTGCACACACCAGCAAAATTTCTCGTGGAATTTCTTCTGCTCTCACACTCGTTTAGATAAAGGAGAAAAAAGGAAGTAGTAGAGAGGATGTCTGGTGTCAGACGAGATACATTGACTGCGTCAACTTCAGATAATATTTCATTCATATTAGAAGATTTCAACGTAGAGTCTACTGGGATGGAGGTCATCAAACCATCGACATATCCAGTGAAGTAAGCCTTGAGACAATACGGAAGATCGTGCAATACGAATACAGAAATTGAGGGAGTGAAGCGCCTTGACGCGCATCACTTCCCATTAGAAGTGGTGTTCGGCGCTCTCATTTTAAAAGACTATGTTGGTTTCTACTGAAATTATAACTGTCTCTGTGGTAGCGAGTGAATTTATAAACACACATCGTAATTTATTCTACCACAACTGCTCTTGTTAGCAATATCATTTTCGCATATTCTATAAATTCGATCACGGAATCCATATGATGTATGATGAAAATGAAAAGAAACTGGCCATAACATGTGACAACTCAAGTAAAATACCGTACACACAGGACACCAGTGACACAAAGACCTCTTAGAGTTCTATAGGATTGCGTTTTGATTCCAAAAAGGTACGTAGTATTATTGGGAATACGGTGAGCATATTTACAGCACCATTATCTACATGTGATCTACATGTAACGATTTGACGTAAAGCTTCAAATGTTGCATAATTCACATATATGAAGAGGACTCACAGTGAACCTGTACGCTGTTCTTCTCTGCCTCCCGTTTCGTTTGGGTCGAATGGGTCGAATTTAACCTCGTATCTACAGTCCGCATCTACAACCATTAGATCTAGTTGAGGGCCCAAAGTAAATGTGATCCCCATAAAATTGACACTTATTGCTCCTGAAAATAAACAAAAGGACATTTTAATGGGTTTAAGGAGCGGTATAAAATCTCTAAAAGTAGGCCTAAATCAAGAATGAAGTGAAATAATAATATTATTAATAATCTGCTGATACGTTGAGTTCCAAAGTTCGCTTGGTGAAGATCACGAGTGGGAATTTTCAAGTCATTGATTCACATCACGCAGCTGATTGTTTATCTTCTTTAACTCCATCTACTTTGTCTCAAACTGAAGCACTGTATTCGTTGCCTTCTCTCCCGGAAAGCCTGCAAGTTTTCACCTGTACGTCTTGCAGTTTCCATGAGCTGAAACATTGATCATCAACTTTGAATTCCAGATATATTCGAGAGTATTCTTATTCGTTCAGCCTATTTTCTATTCTCGCGTCAAACAGTCCATCAGATTGGGGAATATCACGATTGAAAGCAGACAGGTAGTGTTTCCTTGTTGCTGTTTTCACTTCAAAGGCAAGCTTCACTCAGCTATCCATTTTGTAGCAAGATATATGTGACATTAATATATATATATATATATATATATATAGCTGTTGACTGGGCGTACTAACACACCAAATGAACCTAATATCTCATAAGGAATGGAAACAGAAACTTTCAGGTGACCAGATGATCTCAGTGACTAATCTCATCATCTGTGACGATGTGTCCTCACAGTGGTCAGGAACTGTCACTGGAATGCAAGGTAGCTTCATCCTGCAGGCATTCAGCCAGTCGGTCAGTCAGTCACCAGTGTGATGTCTCATGGTTTCAATGAAGTGATTTGTCGCGATATATAGTCAGAGTGACATGACATTCAATTCAGTCAATTACATTTATAGAATAAATATAAATTACCATCTCCACCAAGTGTCATTGGGAGCAAATAGTCATCCGATTTAATCCTCATAATATTGATCATGCATAGACAGACGACCATGATGAGGTTTAGTCTTGATCTCTGAGACACCATTTTACTGAAAAAATATATAAGAAAGGGAAAACACAATGAAGCTTTTTGGTTTGATATAATTTCAAAGGAATCTTACATATGGGTCTGAAACAAGGTCACTGAGTGACGAATAGCATTTCGAACAGTCAGCTGCACACCTTCATCAACATTTGGAATCCAAGGGAATAGTAACAATAATATTAATAATAATAACGGACATAAAGTATTCCTCCCTGGGGTGAGACTTGACGTAATCCAAACGCTCGACACTTATTCTGTTATTCATACGATTTGTGTTCAGGAAGTCGCGCAAAACATTATTAGCTAGTCTGAATTTTAAGGATTAACTCATTTTCGAAATTCATCTGCATAGAAAAGTTGTTACTGCAAGGTCATTGCCTATTTATACATATATATGATCAGAAAGCTGACGTTCTTGAGTGAATCTACAAAACAGATGAAGTGAATCTCAACAGTTTCTGCTTCATTAATCCATAAGTATCCAGCAGCACCTTGATTTGAAGAATTTATCACTTCAAGTATTCCGTGGAGTTGAACATCTTCTCCAGGCTAAACCACATATCTCGATACCCACGGACCCACAAACCTCTCGCACATCGATGCCATTTGTTCTCGGATAACTATAATCAGATAGAGTGTGTCTTAAACATAGGTCAAAATTCTTCATGGATTGTCGAACGAAGCAAGAACAGCAGTGCAAAAACACATGTGACTGTTTTGATCCGAAAGACGATAGATTAGTTCACTATGAGGTTGGACAGAAGTCTAAAGACAACAGCTGAGTAAAACAGAGTTCCGTTGTTGTTCATAGCCTCACTACTACTACTACAACAAACTCGAATGCGAATTTTGCCAGTCGAGGAGCCAGATTTTGGAGGTGTGATGAGGCTATTGCAGACTGTGAAGCGGAGAATCTAATTCAGCAGACAACTGACCTACATTCTATCTCGTGTCTTCCTTAGATGGATGGACAAGATATCTGAATTTCGTAATTGTCTTGCCCGAAGAACACAAAAATCAGTTGAATACATGAAGGTAGTAGAAATATTCGGTGGTCACTTTTCTAGAGTAGCACAACTTGACAGGGGTACCTAACCTGTCATATGCTCTTATGGTGTTCTCGTGACTTTTGTTGCCAGATCTACCAAGGGCGATGGCATAGTACGCGACCTAATGGTGTGTGTGCAAGGTTTGAAGAAGGCTGTATGTTATTTGCATACGCCTCACCTTGATAATGTCTTAGTTCGTCGGTGGCATATCGGTTAGGACGCTCGCCGATCATGCAGATGGTTCGGGGTTCGATTCCCGGCCACAGACACACTCCTTTACCTTACTAAGCCAGAAATTATGCTGGTGAAGAGGAAAGGTTGGGCATGAGGCTAGCAACCCCATCCTGTAAAATAAACACTGATAAAGAAACTTCAAGCCGCTAGCTTGTTCCACTGGGGAACGTGAAGGGAAAAAAAACGTGACAAATCCACCGCACTGAATTAAACAAACTCTCATGAATTTAATGCGATATCAAGACAATTTTGAAAACAGACTTATTGAATAGGATCCGACCATAAACAGACAGACCTATATATTACGAAGATATTTACCAGAGAATATATTAACAAGATCACCCATCCGGTCCTATTGTTCCACGCGAATATACAGATTACCTAAGTTTCCACTTGATGTAATGCTACACATGATAATTTGTAAATTACGTATGGGCTGATATGGATGCCTGAGTCATATGTTTTATTAATATAAATATAAAATTTGGGGACTGCGGTAGAGCATAACTCCGTTAAGTTAAGTTCGATTTTGTCTTCTTCTGATTTGGAGTTATGAAGTTATTCCCGGGTCACTTGAGGAGAGACTGTCCAGACACAATCTCTGCGATACACATTTTGGTAACAAGAGTGTGGAAATTTAATTTATTTACACATTACATAGCATATCATATGAATATTTAGACCACTGGAACTCACCCGAAATGTGTACTGAATACTCACAGACTAACTTGATACTGATAGAACATTTCGTTTAACTATTTATACCACTAACACACATGACACTATTCAATTTATTGGTTACTTCCACCGGCCAATCAGAATTTGACTGAATCTGTTTGTCTATGCTTGTGTGATACCCATTAATTCAGTTCTAGTCGGATTTAACTTGATTAAAGAAGAGATCTGAACGCAAAACAGTGACGAAATTTAGAAACAAAATCGGAATTGTTGATCATTGCTCATACTAGTGTTTCTGTCTGAGGAGATATATGAAATACGTTAGAAAATATATTTTACCCCGGTATAACCATCATTTCACATCAACTAAATATTACAAGACGTACTTTGGTTGATGATAACTAGCTTTGGAATAAGCGATGTCCTTGGTACCCACGAAAGTTGTTGCCTCTTATAGTCCGAGTTTTCTTGTGGATGACGCTTTGATGACGAGCACTAAGGTTGAGTATCACTGACGGCAGCACCAAATGATGAGTTATGAATTGAGTGAATTGCGCATCGTGGATTCGATTCCGCTGCTACTCACCAGACATCGCAATAATTTTACCTTTATCACCAGAATTCATCGTGGCGTACTCACTGGAAGGCACCAACACTTGAACAAAGGCTAAAAACTTTGAACCACTTAGATGACAAGAAGACAGATGCATTGAAAACTAACGTGGATTACTGTATAGCTGTGTCGAGGTAGCTCTCTACCTATCCCCAGTTCACATCACCTATGTGAGCCTGCAGTTGGAATTCATGGGCTGTTGAACTTAGCGAACTTAGCAACAGAAAGGCCCTAGTTGCAAACCACTTTGGTACCTGTGTACTTCCATGGAGTCTAATACTAGGATGACGCAGCAGCTGTTCAACACTCTCAAGTGTTTTTCAACTGCTTCACAATTCTTTTCACTTCGTGAACCAACTTCCATTACGAATCAATCCATAAAAACAAACCCGTTAACAAATCTAAATTGATTGAAAACAAATGATTCTTATGAGGTTATGCATTGTCAATTATATATGCTGTGAACAATTCGAATTGTAAGCACAAAACTCGACTTCGTAATTTTTTTCTCATGACGCTGATTGTGGACGTGAACATTGACGTTAATTGTTGTCTATAAATTGGCTTGCTGGTGGGTCTCATCACAGTAGTATTAAGCACCACTGACGTGCACTCACTATTACTATTGTTGTTCCCTTGGGTTCCTAGTGGAACATAGGGCTTCAACTGCACGTCTCCACTTGCTTCTGTCTTCTGCTGTACTTTTCACTTGCGTCCATGTTATTCCATACTGTTTCATCTCCTCCTCACACGATCTCCTCCATGTCACCGTTGCACTGACGTCCCACTCGCCGCTTCCCTTTCGGGTTCCAATCGAGCACTGGCCTGACGCGTGATGTCACCCAGCGGCCTCCTCAGCGAGTGTCCAATCCATCTCCACTTCCTCCTGCACATTTGTTGGGCGATTGGTTCCTGTTTTGTTTGTTCCCATAGCTTCTTGTTTGTGATTCTTTCCGGCCATCTGATCTTGAGAATAGAGCCAGCGAAGACAGTTGTTGATAAATGTCTGCAACAGGCTGTTGAAAATATTCTTGGTGACTCGCCAAGTTTCTGATCCGTATAGAAGAACTGATTTGACGTTTGTATTGAAAATCCGAATTTTGTTGTTGATGCTGAGTGACGAAGACATCCAGATTAGTTTCAGGTTGATGAATGTGTTTCTCGTCTTCCCGATTCTCGATTTGACATCCTCGTCCGTTCCTGTCTCCTGTAGTTGAGACAATGCTCCCTAGACAAGTGAATGAAGTAACCTCTTTCAAATCCCTTCCGTTGGTGGTGATTGGCACTGGATGTTGCTGCTGCCGTTGTTGTTGTTGGTTGGTTGGTCATTTTCATAACCTCCGTCTTGTCTATGTTCACCTGCAGTCCTGTCTCTGCTGCTTCTTCGACCAGTTTGTTGGTTTTCGCTTGTAAGTCTTCGATTTTGTGTGACATCAAACATAAATCATCTGCGAAATCCAGGTCTTCTAGGTTCTTCACGTCGGTCCAAGATATCCCTGTCTTTTCGTTTCCCACTGTCTGACGCATAATCCAGTCGACCACAATTAGGAATATCATTGGTGATAATAAGCACCCTTGTCTGACTCCCGTGTTTACTCCGAACGCCACTCTGAATTTTCCGTTGTGGATCACTTGACATGTGCCGTTATTGTACAGCTGTTGAATAAGGTTGATGAATATTTGGGGTAGGCCGTAGTACTCGAGTAGTTTCCAAATTACTTCGCGGTCAACGCTGTCGAAAACCTTCTCAAAGTCTATGCAGTTGAGGTAGAGGTTTGATTGCCATTCCATGCTTTGTTCGATGATGATGATGCGTAGAGTTGCAATTTTGTCAGAACATGATTTACCTTTCCTGAATCCAGCTTGTTCTGGTCGGAATTCTGTATCCAGTGCGTCCTTTATTCTCTCCAGGATGATGCGACTCAGGATTTTACTTGGCGTCGACAGGAGCATGATTCCTCGCCAGTTCTTGCAGAGTCCTAGGACGCCCTTCTTTGGTAGTTTCACGAGGTCACCTTTTCTCCAGTCAGTAGGCACCTTTCCTTCTTTCCAGGTCTTTTGCAATAATGGAGTCAGCATATCTGCTGTCGTTTCTGGGTCCGCTTTCAGTGCTTCCGGGGGTATTCCATCTGGAAACTCTAGATACTCTATTTACGGTTGAAATAAATCGAATATCTACAAACCAACTTATGAGAATTAATCAGATGATCTCTATCTGTATATAGATAGATGCACATTTCAGGGCTTGTGAGAATGAAGTCATCGTTGCTGGCCTTCGTGTTCTTCTCGGCTCTTTATCTTGATGGTGACGAGTTTTTTACTGCGTATCTTCTCTATTTAGGTCGACAAGTCACTGATGAAATAAAGGAGTTTCATTTCAGCCTGCTCCATATACAGTTTATGCCATATTCGAAGAATCAGTGCACAGGAATTGGCAGCAATTCATTCAACTTTCTTCCATATTTTTAAGGCAGCTTCGTGAAGTCGAATTAAAAGTATATGTGGACTTGATAAACTTACTCCGTTGGATAGTTCTAAGTTTATACGGGAAACTAATATTTGAGAATTTGGTCAATATACTTGATAAACAATTCAAGCGAACTCTGTTAACGGATGGGATTTTAGAATAAATCATTTGGTTTGTCCATTGAATGTGAATTGATAGTGGTTGATGTAGCGGAGAAAACGAGAGCTTTCAACATAATTCATCGTATCCCATCGAACATTTCCAATAGACTTCGTATTTGTCTAATCCACACAGCGAAGGCAATAGTCATTCGAACTAGTCAACTTTAACTGTGCATTCAAAAGACGTTCGTACATCCATTAGCCTTCCTTTGTTGGCCTATTAAGACATAACCAACCGATGACTTTTACACCACCCGTTACTTATATTCTCAGTCCCTCCCCTATCACCCCCCAGTCTTATCACATTTTAACTAAAACCTATTTCATTCACTTCCCGTACAATCCAGGACAACATTATCGGTTCATCTGATTTTCTTAGCCTTCATCCACTACTACGTCTACCTGAACATTTGTTTCTTTATTCATGCTGTTATTCGTTGCTCTTGTCATCACCGAATGCCTAACATTTTCATCCTTATTATCGATCGAACCATTATATTTAATTAATGTCAGTAAAAGGCGTTTGAACATCATGGAATAGACCAAATAAAGCATAATTACATTTCAATGGTTCACACGCAATGATAAGTTTTGTTCTTGGTAATATTTCTAGCAAAATTACTGCCCGTGTTCACACCACATTTAGAATGGTTTTGTTCACACATTTGATTTGTACTCATATATATATATATATTTCTGTTTTTCATTCATTTTTGTGTTGGGGTAGTGCCTGATCACGAATTGGTAGAGGTTAGAATTCATGAGCCATTGAATCGGGTCTCAGTGGCTGAATGGTATAAGAGCTTGCCTTGTAACCAGAAAGTCGTGTGTTCCAACCCCTACTCGGTTCGTACTGCCGATGATTCCCAATCTAGGATGAAACAACTGCCCAGTACTTCCTGGTCTTCAGTGGTTCTCTAACTCACATCAATCCGTCACCAACTCGTAAAAACAAAACTAACCCTTACAAACGAAACTATTCACAATTTTATTTCAGGTTGTTGTCACCCTTGTTACATGTATCCGGTGTGACCTTACTGAATATGGATTCTGTTTTAAGTCTCTTATTGCATTTGTTCATATTAGTGTTTAGGAAACGGACATTGTTTCAATCGATATTGCGGTTTTTGTTCCATGCATGTGCAGTTATGAATGAAGTTTTTCCTAAAAATGCTAAGAATTCCATTCTGTATCACATGTACTGTTTAGGAATAGAGGAAATTATTATTATTATTATTAAAGCTTGTGTTCCTGTTGGTTGACCTTTCGTTAAATCACATTGTTTTTATCCATCATTTTTATGGGATCCTTCAGTTGATTAATTTTATTTTTAATTAGATTCATCGGTTTAAACGTTGTGCGAATCTCAATAGTTTTGAGGCTTCTTCGAACTGCCTCTGATGTACCATTTTTCTGTGGTATTCTGACTGTTTACCAGATTCTTCCATCTTGTCATTCTCCAGTTTTACCCTCTATTTTTCATCTTTATATTACCTTTGATAAATGTTTTGGGTAGTTTTCGTCGAGTAGCATTTTGAATATGACGTTTATTTCTTCACACGGGTCCTCTGGTGTTGTTGTAAGTCTGTGTATTATATCTGCAAGACCTTGTATTTATCCTCGTTTTACTGCAAGTGGATGAGCTGAGTGATAATCAAGGAATCTTCCAGACTGGTTTTTTTCTATGTAGCGTCGTTTTTATGCTACCTGCCATCTGTTACTCTTTGTATTTTGCGGACTAACATAGGCAGTTCTCCGATTTCATTCTCTATTTCCATAGTAAATGTTATTGAGT